GACATAGGCAATTATTAAGGCCCCTAAATTAACCGGCAAGACCGAAAGATTCAAGCTCGGTACACTGAGATCTCCGAGTCGGATGTCCGACCCATCTCGCACCCTCCCTTCCCAAACACAAGATGCGAATCGAAATCCCCAATTTCTGCCATCACCACATCTACAACAAAGGCACGAGAGCGCCGTAGATACATCTTTCTTAGGAACTCTCAAACACCTATAGTATAAGTGAAGAACCCCGAAGCCTAGAACATAATCCAAGATTTTGCTCCCTGGAGACCCAAAGCCCAAAACCCTGAAGCCCTAAATTTGGCCCTTAATCCCAACAAACTTGAAGCAGGGACATGCTGGCTGCAGTGTGCGGCACGTCTCCGCCGCCACATCCAGGTCCTCGTCGTCCGGCAGAGGCGCGTCGGCATCTTTCCGCCTAAGCCGTAAACCCTCAACTGGCCGTCATTCCCCAAACCCTGGGCCCCAATCCCTGAACCCTAAGGTCCTAAGCCCTACTCCCTAAACCCGAAGTCCTAATCTACGAAATCCACAAACCCTAAACCCCAACCCGCAATTTCGAGCCTCCAAGCCTGAACCTGGGACCTGGGGGCTGATCCCGTTGGACGCCTGACCCTAAACCCTACAAAGAAGTAGCCTTACGGCCCGTATAAATTGTAGTGTCTAACCCTCAAAACAATAAGGCTTGCTGGATCCACAGGTTGGATTTAAGGAGTTTCGGATTTTGGGGAGTGGGGTTCTAGCCTTTCGGGTCAGGGTAATGTAGGAACCTTTGTAAGACACCCCTGAAACAGTTCCTCAGAGTTTTACTTCTGGCGTGGGACGTTGGAAACAGGTTAGGCGCTCTGAAAGAGGGTGAGAGCTTGCTCATGCAGAGGCCGGCTGAGGACTGGAAGTACGGCCTAAGGTGTAACGCCCTCATTCTAGAGGAACCCATACCGGTAACTTTTCATAGACCCTAAGCCCCTAATCCCTAAACCCCCAAACCCTAAACGCAACGTCGTGGTCATAGTTCTGAACTCTGACCCTTCACCAACCCGAAGCCCCTTCAGAAGACCTCTTCAGCAGCATGCTTACAGAACCGTCACAGAAACGGTACGAGACCCTTAAACCCGAAGCGCCTTATAAAACCCGCTTACAGGAGCCTTGAAGAAGCCTGAAACCAGAAACCCTGAACCCTAACTCCTGAATCCCTTTTGTTTGCCCCGAAATGCAAACCACGGTTGGTTGCTAGGCTCGGCACGTGCCGCTTCCGAGGGGAGCGTCCTTTATGTAGGAGCCATAAGGATTAGAATAGAATCCCATGGATGGTTTTGACGAGTTTTATGGGGGGGGGGGGGGGGGNNTTGAAGTTGTACGGGTCGGTGAAGGGTTATGGGGGTCGATATGGATGCCTTTGGTAGGTACGTGATACTATAGTTATGCAACGGCTACAAGGGGACAACATTACGAATCGTCGAAAACTCACGGTTATTGGAGGAGTGGAAGGACGTGTTAGGGTTCTTGGATCTCACGGCAGGAACCGCTTTAGGTTTGCGGTTTAGGGTTTAAGGTTTGGTGCTTAGGGTTTAAAGGTGGCAACCGGCAACTTCCCGCAGGAACTTGGCTCAGAACTCAGCACGCTGGTATTTCGGACCAGACCCGGGGAGACTTCTCACAATGCAGTTAAACATGACCCTAGAGTTCCCTTGCTCTCGAAGACGGGAGTGGCCTTGGATGTGGGGTCAGTTTAGAGCAAGCACATCGGAGAAACAATCTTAACTAAGGGTATCAAGTCTGCGGGGGCCTACACAAGCTGTATCTCTAGCGAAAACAATCTGAAATTCACAAGGATAGAAGGCTTCACACAAACCTGGATCCCTTTATTTATCAGAAGCGATCATTTAAGGACGGTAAAGTAGAAGTAAGAATGCTTCTGACTTAAACTTGTTGAAAATCTAGACCTATTGTAAACCCCGAGAGCCGGCAAAGCACCAGCAATGGGCCTGCGAAACCGGGGGCGCTGGAGTGGCTCCATCCGACCTGCTTTAGGATCGGGCTTCGGCTCAAGCGGTTCAGGGTGTAAACCCTAAACCCTAAACCCTAAACCTATAGGGCATACGTCTTATGGTCTTAGGGTTGGGGGCTCCAGCTCTACACTCAGTCTTCGGGTTCAGGGATCGGGGCGGCCCTATTGGTAGAGCCCGACATGGTTTAGGGTTTAGGGTTTAGGGTCTAGGGTTTATGCGGTCTGCAAAAGCCTTCTTCGTCGTAAATAAACCTTTTTTGCATCACGTCATAGCTGATCTCGTTGCATCTATCCTTCTACCCTAAACCCTAAACCCTAAACCCTAAACCCTAAACCCTAAACCGGAGCGCCAAGCTGAAGACGGATTTGAGAGTTTGAGGTTTCGTGCGCACAGAGTCGGTGCCACATGGCGGTGTTCTACAAGCGCTCCCGCAAAAGGTTTAGGGTTTAGGGTTTAGGGTTTAGGGTTTAGGGTTTAGGGTAGTGGATTGCCGGCTGCGCTATAAGTTTGGTTGGGCGAAGGGTTCCGAATCCAAACAGAAGGGTGTAATGGATTTAATGGCTGGGCTTCGTCTTTGGACAGCAGGGCTCGTGATGCTGCTAGGCTTGTGGCTACGTGCTGTGCTCTGCGAACTGGAATCAACTGAGCCATGAACCCTAAACCCTAAACCCTAATCCCCAAACCCTAAACCCTAAAACCGAAACTCTAAGCCCCGCGATTACACACCGAACACCACCAAACCGTAGGTATGTTGCGGAACCCTAGGACATACTTTTTCTATTTTTCCAACCTACACTTCTGAAACCCCTTAATGAATTATTTGTCCCTTGTCCCTTGCTCAAACCCCTATACCGCTTACTAAGAACTCCCCTTAGGACCCCCCAAACCCTAAACCCTATACCCCAATAGAAACCTGTAAAGCGACACAGGATTCCGTCTCTGGGGCTTCCGCCGGTCCTCTGCGCTCGAAGCCGGACTTGCCTGAACTTCGGCGAAAGGCTTCTGAACACATGCTTTTTCGAAAAGAGACAGGTCTTATGTAGATGTTGCAAGGAATCAACGGCTGGTCTGCCAGGTTTAGTGTGCAGGGGTCGGGGTATCTGTGCAAGTAAGGCAGCTTGTGCAGGATGGCAACCCCAAACCAGAAACTCTAAACGGTGCCAGCCCTGACAGGTGCATAATTGCACTTCGGCGCTTCCTAAGCCACGGTTTAGGGCTTAGGGTTTCGGTGTTAGGGTTTAGGCCGACTTCAACCTGTACCAGAATGCAATCGAGCCTTCAACCAAAGCTTTGTGATGTAGACCCCGGATTAGTGCCAAATAACTTTGGGGGGGGGGGGGGGGGGNNGTGATAAATGCCTGCTACTATTCTTTAGGGCCCTGTGCTTTCTAGGGGGCATATCTACTTCAATCAAGGCAGACTGGAGCGCCACCCTGAACCATCGTATCCTTCAACAATTCCTAAGCCCTAAGCCCTTTTAAGAGCGCTAAACCTCAGGCCCCAAACCCCAAAGTCCTTCCCCCTAAACTCTAAACTCTAAACCCTGAAACCCTAAAGCACTAATTACATCCTAACCCGTGATCATACACTGTAAATCCAAATTCGTGAACCCAAAGCCCTGCCATCAACTCCACAAGAACGAAAGCATGTCTTTGTAAACTCTCAACATCAAACCCTAAACCCTAAACCCTAAACCCTAAACCCTAAACCCTAAACCTTAAGCACCGGAACCCTGGCCCGAACTCCAGCCAGAAGGGTCGATCCTAACCCCTAGCGCCTTAACCCTACACCCCTAAACCCCCAAACCCTACTAAGCCCCTGAACCCCTAAACCCTAAGCCCCCAGACCCCAAAACCCCTAAACCCTAAACCCCTAAACCCTCAACCCTCAACCCCTAAACCCCTGAACCCCTAAACCCCTAAACCCTCAACCCCCCTAATTAAACCCCTGAACCGCGGAACCCCTGAACACCTGAACCCCTGAACCCTAGACCAAAAAACCCCTAAATGAACCCCTGAACCCTGGACCCCAAAACCCCCAAACCCCTGAACCCCTCAACCCCTGAACCCGAGACCCCAAAACCCTTAAACCCCTAAACCCCTGAACCCCTGAACCCTGAACCCTGAACCCCTAAAGCCCTGAACCCTAGATCCTGGTTCAGTCAGCTGCAAAGGAGACCTCGACCGTCGCTGCTGGAGGTGGCGCTGGACCCTTCCTTGACAGCGTGCAAGCCCTATAAGCGCCTTGTGGGCTTTTTTTTTGGAGGGGCTTCCTACAGGGTTTCATAAGATCCCGCGGCCTGGATAGCAGCTGCAGAGCAACGAGAATCCCTCCAGGCAAGTCAGAGACTGAAATCCACGACGCCCGAGTCTGCAAGGGCGCTGATCTAAGATGCTCTGAGCACATCGAGACAGACGAATTCAAGTCTTACAGCGAGGCTTGGGTGAGTGCCGGGGGTTGGGCTGACATAGGCAATAGGGATTCAAGGTTTAGGTTGCCTTGGGCTTTGAAGTGCCTAGATAAGTACTTAAACACCATGAAGTGTAGTACTGAGGGACTCGAACCCTACTGCCTGGGTCCTTGGACCCTGTGAGAAGCGGCTTTGGTCTGTTGGTGATGTTGTGGTCCACTAGAGTCAGCAGCCAAGCGTCTTTCCTTTGGACGGATGGCCCTTGCCCATGCTCTTGCCTGAGCTTCACAACAAGCTCGCGGACAGAGAGCATCCTTTGGCCGGAAACTGCTACAGACCTAATCGATTTTGCCATTAACTTGATATCAAGACATCAGATTGTCTAATGAGGGCCATAGAAGGACGTGAGACATGAGGCTGGAAGACCCGGCACGGTAGTGTCTAAGCCCCACGCCAGCAGGCGCGGGCGTAGGAGCTGTTTCGTTCTCCGAGGATGTGTCATCTCCCTCAGCAGGGGATCCCAGCCTACCCACACCCAAAACATCTTCCCGACAGCCTGACCAAGTAAACATAAGTAAACTGCGGTAGGACATTTGCATTCCCGAAACTCCCCTTCTCTAAAGCCCCGACACAGCCTCATCAGTGGGCGATGCCTCTGCTGCGGGGGCAGGCAGAGCAGGCCCCTTCCTTAGCTCGAAAGTCAGAGAGTCTGTGGCTGTGGTGTTGAGGGTTCGGCGCTCTTGAGGTCTACCTTACTTAACCTACCAAAACCTACTTTTTTGTAGGTTCTTATTATAAACCCTCATGGGGAATTCATAGGGACTAGGTTTTGGTAGGTTGAGGTAGGGTTTAGG